GAGACTGAGACCTAAGAAGGAATCTGGGCCCTGATGGTGGGGAAACCCCCACGCCAGCCCTGCACCACCGACCTCTCATCTCCAGCAGGCGCTGGGATCCTGCTTCCTGCTCTGCGACTGAATCTATTCTGACACACTGTCCTCCAGTTCTGGTATAAAGAGTCAGACTTCATGTTAGCCAAGGGAGGCAGTGGGGGGAAGCAACAGCCTTGGCACTACCCGGCCCCCTTTCTGTCAACTGCCCCCGCTTTGCTCGCTCCAGACACATGTGGGGGGGATTAAGTGTCGAGGGAGCCAAGGTGAACAGCAGGAAAAGGAAAGCAGTGGAGACAGAGCTTTCCACCAGACTTTGCTCACAATGCAGCCACACAGATTAATCCCACAGCCACCACAGAAGGTTGTGTTACCCCCGCCCACAGAAAGAGCTCTGGCAGGAAGAACAGCTGGACCCAAGTCAGACACGCAGGTCATGGGCCCAGAGCAGGGCCGGCCCAGTCCTACCGCACTCTATGACATCGGCCGCCAGGCTGGTCTCCAGGAAATATGGCCCTCGGCGTCTACTTCCTAGTGTCAATTCCCTGTGAATTGCCAGGGGCCAGAATGTGGGTAGGTGGGAGAACAGATGGAGGTTGAAAGACCTCTGGTGGCAAAACACTGACCTCTACAGAAGTCTCATCAGGGAGCCTGAAATCCCATGTTAAGATATTTCAGAAAGAGGGCAAGCTTCTGTTATATAAATCCATATGTTATTTAAAGTTATATAAAGCTAGACAAATATGTACATAACACTATGGGTTTTGGTGGCAAATGTTTTATCTATGCATATTACGTGTAGATGTGAGGAAGACGTGTGGTAGGATACACCACCTACGCATAAACACATAGGAGGAAGCGTGTGCAGTCTGTTTTGATTATCTAAAATGAACATGTAATATGAAAAACCAGTAGCTGGTATTTTTAAAGGGGTGCTCTGTATTTAACCCTCTAAATGCCTCCCACCTCTCACCCTCTTGGCCTGCCCTGAGGGCGTTGTCTCAGTTTCCCCTGCCCCACAGCCTTGGCAGGGTTCTGATGCAGGGCCCAGCGAAGGCTCAGGAGAGCCTTGGCCAGACTCCATCAGACATTTGTCTACACTGGGGGTGACTCAAATCTACACAAATGAGATCCCATCAGTGACCCAGGTAAGAGGATTGCAAAGGCCAAGAGGCTTGAGGAGGGAAGGCTGCCGGGAAAGCAGTCTGTCCTGGAGACAGAGCGAGCAGGAACCTGCAGCGACAGCAGGAGTGGCAGGAGGTGGTCACAGCTGGAGGCAGAAGCAGGAATGCAGCAGCAGCAGCAGCCAGGCGAAAGACAGCTCTGTAAACCTGCAGACTGGAGGCTGGCTGAACTCTACAGCACTGAGTAACAGGGCTTTCCCATCTGGCATTTCCACTTGCTTTGGTACCCACAGGAGCTTCGGGGTCTGGAGGCGGCCGCCATGCACACATGCACACCACCTGAGCAAGCCTTGACAGGGGAATACCAGGAGACCCCTGAAGGTGCTCCTTCCTTCGGGAGCCTGAGATCCAGTCTCTGTCTTGTAAGGGTGTCCTCTGGCCCCGCAGGCCCCAAACTCTACTCCTCCCGCATCTCTCCCGGACCTCCCCGAGCCACCCAGCCCCCTCACCACCCTCACAGGAGACCACAGGTGCCTGGCCTGAGAATCCAAGTGCAGCTGGGGAATGGCCTGGAAGAGGTGGTAAAGGCTGGAATGGAACAGTCCAGCATCACACAGTGGCTAACAGCAGAGTTCATTCCAATCCGGCTCTCCCACAACCCTGTGTGTGACCTTGGGCAAGTTAACCTCTGTGTGCCTGCTTCCTCACCGGTCAAACAAGAGCAAAACAGTACTCACCACCGAGGCTTGCTCTGAGGATTAAGTAAGTTCGTATTTATCATGGAGCACTCAGAACAATGTACTTGGTTAGCTGCATGAAATGCTAAGGACATGGAGCCTGGCAGCCAAACTCCTCCTGGCCCCACTGGGAAGGGCGCAGTGCAGCTATCTCCTGGTCTACTCCACATCTGCAAAGCACAGATAACGACCATCTCCCCTTATTTAACAAAAAAGTAGGGCTAAATAACCCATCCAAGCAACAGGGGAAGGCAAAACCCACTCCACACAAATCTCAAAGGTTAAAATAAAACGGATGTCTGACACTGGTTTCTGAGCCCAGACGGGAGGTCAGAGCTGCTCCCAAGGCCACGGCCTCGACACAGCTCCCCAGATGCCTCTGCCACCATCTGGTGTGGAGCTCCAAAGTAGTTTCTGCCAAGAACATTGCTAGCCCGGGGTTTTTGTTTTGGTTTGGTTTGGTTTTTTTGGAGATGGAGTTTTGCTCTTCCCGCCCAGGCTGGAGTGCAGTGGCGCAATCTCAGCTCACTGCAACCTCCCCCTCCTGGGTTCAGGTGATTCTCCTGCCTCGGCCTCCTGCAGCTGGGATTACAGGTGCCTGCCACCACGCCCGGCTAATTTTTGTATTTTTAGTAGAGATGGGGTTTCACCATGTTAGCCAGGCTGGTCTCAAACTCTTGAATTTAGGTGACCCACCCACCTCGGCCTCCCAAAGTACTGCAATTACAGGCGTGAGCCACCGTGCCTGGCCTAGCCCTGAGTTTTCAAACCCACTCAGGAAATCAGGAAACCAAGTTCGTGGTCACAAAAAGCGTTTTGCTTTTTGTTTTTCCGAGACAGAGTCTTGCTCTGTTGCCCAGGCTGGAGTGCAGTGGTATGATCTCGGATCACCGCAACCTCTGCCTCCCAGGTTCAAGTGATTCTCCAGCCTCAGCCTCCTGAGTAGCTGGGATTACAGGCATTCGCCATCATGCCCAGCAAATTTTTGTATTTTTAGTAAAGTATTTTTAGGTTTCACCATGTTGGCCAGGATGGTCCTGAGCTCCTGATTTCGTGATCCATCCACCTCAGCCTCCCAAAATGCTGGGATTAGAGCCACTGCGCCCGGCCGTGTTTTGTTCTTTTAAATGAATTAGTGGAGAACAGAAGCTCTCAGAATGTTGCATGTGATATGCATAGGTAACAGTTTTGTCTGCTTATGTGTTCTGGGTGTTAGCAAAACAGGCACTCTCACCGGGGTTGCGTTTGGGAGTCCAAGCGTCACTGTGAGGCCAACCCTGGTATCAGCTGTGCACCCTGAGGCTCGCCGGCAGGTGATAAAGGGCACTCAGTAAGCACTGCCTGGGCCAGCAGAGGCACAAAGCACCTCTCAGGGACCACCCTCATCAGAGGACCTGGTTCTTCCCCAGACCACGCCTGCCCAGCCAGCAGGAGGCAGAAGCAGGAGACACTCACCAGCTTTCCTGCTGCGGCCTCCTGGCTCTTCAGGATGATCAGCAGGAGCACGGCTTGGGGGTCCTCTCTACCTTGTGGCCTGCACTTCCTTTCCCCCCTGGCCCCCATCCCCTGGGCTGTCGCTGGCTCTTCTCTCCCACTCATCCACTTTCCTTCCTCAACTTTGCTTCCTCCCACCCATCTAGCCCTCTCCTTAACTCTTCATTCTCCCTTTTCCTTTCTTCCCCCGCCTGTCACCTCCTTTTCCAGGACACACACACACAAATATTTTTCAGACAATTCAGCCTTTACTTTATTTTAGAAAATAATTCTGTAGCTTCCACTTTCTTTCATGAAACTGAGGTCAGGCAAGAAGCAAAAATCCACCAAGTCCTCTCCACCCTGCCATGGCATCCTGGCCTGTGAGGACATGGGGCGCCTGGGAGTGGGCAGGGAGGCTGGGCAGCACTGGGCCAGAGGCGTCCTGGTCACTGCTCCACCTCATGCTGAGAGGCCACCAGAGCCACAGCCTGCAGGGAGGAGCCTGTGCGCCAAACCCCAGAGGAAAAAGGGACACGCGGATCAAATTCTGTCTTCTACAAAGTCAGCAGGAGCCTCCTAGAGCAACAGGGAGGGGACTGATTTTCAGAAAGGAGGGGTCAGGGCACAGTCCCTCTCTGAGGTAAGGCAAGAGAGCGGTTGTCCCAGCACAAGGCCTTCCTCCCTGCACCTCTCCCCTGACAGCTGGGCATAGGCTGAGAGGTCTTGCTTGCCCCCTTCAACTTTCCATCTCAGAACGATAAACTGCTAGGCTGCAGGGAGAGAAGGGCTGACTGGGGGTCAGAGACAGGAGAGGAGGACGAGGCAGTGAGCCCCAGTGACCCACCAACTCCACCAGACCCTGACAAGGCAGCCCCTTTGGTTAGTATCATTTTGGCCACAAATATGTCCCCTTCTCCCATAACCCAGCCCCCACTGGGGGAAAGGGAGCAGGTGTAGAAGGAGGGCTCATGCCCTGGCTGGAAAAGCCACGTCAGGGAGAAGGGTCTGGTCAAGAGGGCAAACGTTGCCAAACTCTCCGCACATGCCCCAGGAGAAAACTCAGGACGTGGACATTTCTGGCCTCAACAAGCCCAGTGTCCCCCTACCACACAGTGGTTTCCTGCTTCATACCCCACAACACACCCTAGAATAGTTCCCCTGATCTGACTCCCTTGAGAACGGGAGAATCATCCTCACGTTATCATCTGTGCACTTAAATGCCACTCGGAAAAATCAAAAAGATAAATGCACCTAAGAGGGAAACACAGGCAGGCCGATGCAGCCTGGGGACTGTGGTCCCGCCTCAGCTCATGATGTGGTAAGGAGGGGCCCACGAAGGACAGGCTAATTCCAGCTAGGATCGTAGCCCTCCCACGTCGGCGGGGGCGCCAGGTGGACACGGCGGCCCCGGAACTGGAAGGTGACAATACCCCGGTAACCAGCTCTCGGAACCCCCGACTTGAGGTCATCCATGACACCCAGAGCCTTGGCGAAGGCCTTGAAGCTGTCCCTGCCGGTATACTGCACCCGCACCTCCCCCAGCTCCTGGCGGTCATTGGTCCTCACTTTCTCCACCTGCAGCTGCGGGGCCGCGTAGACGCGGGCGAGGAAGTCCCGGTCATAGGCCTCCCGCTGCAGGTAGGACAGGTCCAGCTGGGTGAAGCGCACAAACTGCTGGTTCAGCTTGATGAACTTGAGGTGCTGGTCAAAGAACTGCCCGTGGCTCACACCCTTGCGGCCAAAGGTCATCGTTCTGGAGATTTCGGGGCGTATGCAGGCCCGCCCCTTCCGCTGCTCCGGCCGGCGCATCCAGTCGTCCCAGAAGGCCTTCGGCCACTTGGGCTCCAGCTCGGCCCAGAGCTCGGCCAGCAGCAGCCAGCCCAGGCCAGGGAAGAAGTCGGTGCGGTAGAGCAGCTCGGGCTTGCCGGAGTCCACCATCTGCTCCTTGCCGTTGTCATTCCAGGCCGAGACGCACCAGAGCGAGGGGTCGGCCTTCAGCAGCGGATAGGTGGCCTGGAAGTACTCGAAGAAGTCCGGGGCCACCTCCAGGTCGTCCTCCACCACCACGGCCGCGGGGAAGCGAAACTGGTGGAAGACCTGGCCCAGCGCCCAGCGGTAGTGCCGCGCGATCTTGTAGTAGCCCTGGAACTTGCGGTGGTCCGGCGGCACCGCGATGCTGCTCAGGTCGGGCTGCCGGATGTGCGTGACCGCGCTGCCGTAGGAGGCGATGGCCTGCGCCGTCTCCTCGTGCCCACAGTCCTGGCTGACGATGATGGGGAAGCGCTCAGCCGAGGGCCGGTAGTGCAGCAGCTTGTCCAGGCAGCGCCGAACAGTGCTGCGGTCACAGGCGATGACCAGGATGGGAATCACCGCCGGCGCTGGGGTCACAGGCACGTGCGGCTGGGCGGGAGGGCCCGCTGTGGGCACCCTCCCCCGCTGGCTCCACAGGGCATCCCCGATCTGCTGCAGCAGCCCACGCTGCCGCTCCAGCTCCACCTCGGCGTCTTGGGCCAGGCGAATCACTTCCCGCGTGAGGCTGGCAGGGTCATCCAGAGCACTGACTGAGGGTGGCCTGCCAGGTGCTGGGCGTGTCCAGAAGAAAAGGAGCAGCAGGGCATTCCAGGCCACAAAGAGGATAGCGCCCCACAGCACAAGCCCTGCAGACTGCTTCTTCAGCATCCTGGCCCCCACCGGGGAGGGCAGGCGAGCGGAGGGTTCAAGGCTGCCCGGGGCTTGCCCGGCTCCCTTGCCTGCAGTCCTGGGGATGCTTCCTCTGGACTATGGGATTAGCAAGCAGCCATGCACCTAAAGACAGGAGAGAGAAAACAAACCGTCACACAAAGGCATGTGGCTCCACACCCCACAGGTAGAGGAATGTGGGGGGCAGGAAAGGGCCAAGCGTGAGGGTGGAGGAGGGCCAGATTCCAGAGCTCTCTGCGGAGTCTACATATATGCTGACTCTCAGCAACATGTTCTTGAGGGAGAGGTAGAATGTGATGCTGGTAGAGGGAGAGAGAAAAAGAATCCTAACTCCTCTCTTTCCACCTGTCGGAACTCATTTCCCTCCAGCGGGGAAGGAGGAGGGAGGAGCAAGGAGTGAGAGCATCCGCCTACCATTCCTCTAACCCAACTGCCCCAAGATTACTGATTTTTAAAATCAAATATCACGCCTCAGGGCTAAAATTAATCCCTCACCTAACAGGGAAGCACCAGGGGCACCCCACGAATGTCAGGAGCAAAATGAAGCTGCCCATCATCTCCAGGGTTATTTAACGTTTTGCTGGAGGAAGCAGTCAATGCAAATGAACCAAGAAAAAAACAATTCAAAGCAGAAGTGGGAAAGAAGCGAGCTATTTCTATTATCTTTACTTGTGAGAATATGCCTGGAAAACTCTAAGAAAATCAGTAACAAACTAAACCAAACTATCAATGAACTGAGCAAGGTAATGAAATATAAAAATCAACATACACAAATGGATAGCCTTTATATCCACAAATGACTCATGAGAAGAAAACATGCATGAGAAAACCCTACTTACAAAAGCCAGAGAAATGAGAGAATATTTAGAAATAAACTTAAATAAACTTAAACATTCAAAACATATGTGAACAAAACTATCATTCCTGAAAGACACAAAAGAACATTTGAACATCCCTTGTTCTTGGTCAGGACATCTCAGCATCATCAAAAATCCCAATAAAAATACCTTTTTATGGAACTAGACGAACTGACAATAAAGTTCACATGAACAACTAGGAAAACAGTAAAAATAAGCTGTGAGGAGGGACTTAGCCCTACCAGATACTAAAATGCTGCACACTGGCCAGGTGAGGAGGGACTTAGCCCTACCAGATATTAAAATGCTGCACACTGGCCAGGTGAGGAGGGACTTAACCCTACCAGATATTAAAATGCTGCATACTGGCCAGGTGCAGTAGCTCCCACCTGCAATCCTAGCACTTTGGGAGGCCAACGCAGTAGGATCACTTGAGCCCAGGAGTTCAAGAATAGCCTGGACAGCACAGAGAGACTCTGTCTCTACAATAAATAATCAAAAAAAAAAAAAAAAAAGCTGGGCATGGTGGCATGCACCTGCGGTCCCAGCTACTTAGCAGGCTGAGATGGAATCACCGGAGTCTGGGAAGCTGAGGCTGTAATGAGCCGTGATTGGACTGTGCCATTGCACTCCGGCCTGGGCAAGACAGTGAGGCTCTGTCTCAAAAAAATTATAAATATATACACACACACATACATATATCACATACTACAAAACCTCCGTAATTACAACTGTGTGGTACTGGTACATAAACAAACAGACCAGCCAGTGAAACAGAATTTAAGCTCCAGAAACAGAGTCAATACACAAAGAAATATAATATGTAATAAAGGTGCTACTTAAAATTCCCAAGGCCAAGATGGTCTTATTAATAGTGTTATAATAATTATGTAGCTACGCTATATAGCTTGAATATGGTTTGTTCTCTGAAACACATGCTGGAATTTGACCCCCAGTGCGGTGATGCTGGAGGTGGGGTCTAGTGGTAGGTGTTTGGATCACAAGGGGGCCAGGGCAGAGCCCTCATAATGTCCTCTGGTGAGTGAGCTAGTTCCCCAGGGATAACAGGCTGTTATAACCAAGCCCAGTCTCTCTTGCATGCCCCACTTCCTTTCTACTGTCTCTCCTGCCTGCCCCACTTCCTTTCTACTGTCTCTCCTGCCTGCCCCACTTCCTTTCTACTGTCTCTCTTGCCTGCCCCACTTCCTTTCTACTGTCTCTCCTGCCTGCCCCACTTCCTTTCTACTGTCTCTCCTGCCTGCCCCACTTCCTTTCTACTGTCTCTCCTGCATGCCCCACTTCCTTTCTACTGTCTCTCCTGCATGCCACACTTCCTTTCTACTATCTCTCCTGCATGCCACACTTCCTTTCTACTTTCAGCCATATCCATATAAAAACCTATACAGGAATGTTTATAGTAACTTTATTCATAATCACTCAAAACTGGAAATAACCCAAAGGCCCATCAACAGGGAAATACAGATAAACAAATTGTGGTTTACTCATAGAATGGAATAATATCCAGCAAAAAAACCTGAATAAATCACTGACATACACAACACAATCTCCAAATAAATACACAATATGGGTCTTTTTGGGAAAAATAAAAAAGAACACATACACTATGATTCCATTGACATAAAACTGCAGAAAATAGAAACTAATCTATATGACAGAAAGCAGATCAGTTGTTGCCTGGGGATGGAGGCAGAGAAGGGCAGTGGGGTAGTTACTACACAGGGGCTTTAGGAAACTTCTGGAAAGGTGGATATGTTTATTATCTTGATTGTGGTGATACTTTTATAGGTATATATATACACACACACACATATATTTGTCAAAACATCAAATTGTACACTTTATATGCAGTTTATTGCACATATTTATATCAATTGTATGTCAATGAAACCTCAAAAAACTTTTTTAAAAAAGACATTATTGGGTAAAATGACAAAGTTGGAATATGGACAGTAGGTTAAAGTATCAGTGATAACTGATTAATTCCAATTCTTAGAATGGATGCAACTTCTTAAATGGTTCAGAACAAAAATATACTGCACACATAGAGAGGGAGAGCAAATGGAGCAAAATATTAACAAGTGAATCTGAGTAAAGACAGTATGTACGAGTATCCTTATACTATTTTTTTTCTTGCAATTTGTGTAAGTTTGAAGCTATTTCCACATGAAGTTTCTTGACAGTCAAATATGTAGACATTGCCCATAGCTCTGAATAGCTTCATCCATCAGTGTCGCCCCAGCTGGGCACGTCAGCAAGGCAAATTGAGATGATCTGTTCGCCCTGAATTCCTCTGTCAGTCACCTGACAACATGCATCACACACCTGCTCTCTGCCAGGCTCTGGGAAGGAATCAGGACACAAACTAATGAGAAAAAGGCATGGTCCCACCCACCCTCCAAGCTCTACCAGACCACACTACTGGAAAGGATCTGAAACACTCCTCAATTCCCAGCCAGCTGCCCTTCCAGACCATAACTCCTTGACTGTCCTGCCTCTGATCTACCCTTCACACCTGGAAGCTTCAGGCATGCACCCTCTTACACCGACAGCTCTGCCAGTCACCCTCTTACACCGACAGCTCTGCCAGTCACCCTCTTACACCGACAGCTCTGCCAGTCACCCTCT